GAAGCAGGCGGATCGCATGCGCCAGCTGCAGGAGACAGCCCCGGATCAGCGCTCTCGCGGGTCCGACCCGCGCCCAACCCCCGCCCGCCAACGTCCCCCGGCACAAGGTTGCCAAAGACCCTGTAACCGGCTGGGGGTGGTTGTTAAGCGACCCCCACAGACTGGCGGCCGTTGGGCCCTCCCCGCCGGGCCTAGTGATCCCAGAGGCCGGGCGGGGGTCGTCAGCGTCTGAGGCTGGGCAGCTCAGGGTGGTAGTCGCGGCGAAAGGGCTCCCACCTACAGCTTCTTCTCACAGAGCCGCTGCCCCAGAGCCCTGGCCACCTTCCCGTCTCTGACGGAGCTGCTGGGCAACTGCGAAGGCACTCACCCCGCGAATATCCCAATAACCCAGAACCATAGACGACGTGGACGACATGATGAAGCAACGTGCGGGCTTTCGAAGACTGGCGGTAAACCGCGAGCGGCGAGGTTTTATATTCGACGTATCTGGGCGGGGCCAACGTGAGCCGCCTGACTCCGCCCCCGCCCTCGTTCCCGCCCTCCGCGTGGCCACAATATCACGCGCATGCGCGACTTCTGCGGGCAGTAGGGTGAGGGCCCTCGCGCGGTCTGGGTGGAGACCCGCAGGTGTGCAAAGACCTTAGCTTAATGCAGTTGTGCTTCCGCACGGGCGGGAGCCGCACTTCAGTGGTTAATGTTGCCAGAGCGGGAAGTGCAACCAGGCAGTAGTTACCCAGGGAGAGTCAGATTCATGGGTGCGGTAGAGGACTAGAACAGTTCGCGATAATTGGACCTGATTCTGACCATCCAGCTGAGTCGCCATCTTTGGCTCCACTGTTAAGCAGCGGGGAAGGACTGGGGAATGAGAGCTTGATGTTAAACCCCTTAATTACTTAAATCCATGAAACTGCCAAGTAGGAAGTGATTCAGGGCACAAGACATCACCTAAGATAGTTCGGAGGGAGAAATCTCTTCAGGCCAGGACAGAGGGTGGTTCTAGGAAGGCTTCACAGAGGAGGTGGGCATTTGAGCAAGGTTACTGAGGAAGGATAGGCCGTGGGCATTGCCACAAAGGGCACTCCAGGCAGCAGTAGGGCAGAATAAATACGGGAAGGTGGGAAATACATGTGTGTTAGAAGAAACAGCAAGTACTGTCGAGGTAGGCTGGTTTATGAGGTGTTGAGGAGGCACAGAGAGAGGGAGGATGGGAAAAGCATGTGGGGGTCAGGTTGTAAAGGGCCGTGACTATGAGAAAGGGAAATTTTAAGTTTTTTTCCTCTGGTCTATGGGGAGTATCTAGATCATACTCTCCAATAGAAACGTAGTGGAAGCCTCACATAGGATTTAAAATATTTGTTTCTGGTAAAAACAGGTGAGTGGATAAATACATTTTATTTAGCCCCAATGTATTAAAATACTGTAATTTCAGCATATAATTAGTATAATATTATCGAAATATTTTTATTCTTTGTATTGTCTTCAATACACAGTGTGTATCTTACACTTAAAACTAGCCTCAATTTGAGCCAGCTACCGTTCACCTGCTCAGTAGCCACATGTGGCTCATGACTGCTCTATTGAACAGTGCAGATTTGGAAGCTGTGCTGAGGTGAGTGATACTGCCAATGTCCATTAGAGAAATTAATGTAGCTTCTTTGTGTAGAGTGGATTGGAGAAAGAAAGATACTATAATTTTTGCATTCACTCATTCATGTACCCAGCAATGTGTTTAACATGCCTGTCATGGGCAGCACTGTTTTAGATGCTAGGGATACAGAACACAAAAAAATTAGCAAAAATTCCTCTCTCTGAAAGCTTGCATTCTAATGGAGAAAGGCAGAAATAACCAAATACTTAGTGAATATATAATAAGTCAGATAGTGGTACATGTCCCATGGAGAGAAAACAGAGGAATACAGCTGGGGAGATAGCTCCGTGGGAGAGTTTTTCTAGCATTCAGTGGGTGCTGGGTTTGATTCCCAATGGATAGGGCAGGCAGTGGGGGATATTTTAAAGCTGGTTGTGGTGGCACATCCCTGTAATTCTGGAGTTACTTGGGAGGCTGAGCAGGAGGATCCAAAGTTTGAGGCCAGCCTGGGCAACTTAGCAAGACCCTGTCTCAAAATAAAATTAAAATAAGAGCTGGGGATGTGGTTTGTTGGTAAGTGCACCCCAAGGGTTAACTCCCAGTACTGAAAAGAGAGAGAAGGCAGAGGAGAATAAGAATTAATAGTGGTGGGGAAAGGTAGGGGAACCCCAGCAGGAAGGGGGTTTGTGTTTTTGATGAATGAATTTTGGTAGGTCTCACCGAGATGTTAACCTTTAAGCAAAGACCTGAAGCAGGTGTGAGATCAAGCTACTGTGCTGTGGGGGCTGTGGGTGCAGCAGGCTGGGGAGATCTCCAGGCAGAAGGAAGTGGTAAGTACAGGGAATCATTGTACACACAGCATTTCAAACAATGAGACCAAAGAGATTGCCATGGAAGTGAGAGCAGTGGAGAAGAGACGAGATCTGCAGGTTTTGGGGTGCTGTGGCACAACATTTAGAAGCTGGAGAATGATAGAAAGGAGTCTGAAAAGGAGTCTGGCCAGGGAGGCAGGTGGAACACCAAGTGAAGACCCTTGAAGGAGGAAATGAACAACTATGTCAAATGAATGGGATTGCTTGGTCAAGGAAAATGAAGACTGAGAAGTAACAGTTGGATTTAGCAATGTGGGTATCATGGGGACCTTGATACAGCCAGCAAGAGATCTGTGGGAGGTTCCTGCAGTCTTGAGAAGAACTACCCTCTGTGTTTATGCAGTGCTCATGAGAATGTAAAAGGGGTAGAGATTTGTAACAGTGTCAGTGTTGAGCAGGCAAGAGGATTTGTGGGAACACTATGGAGGAGTGGAAGAGGGGGAGTCTACAGCTGCTCTCAGGGTTCCTGTCTGGCCTGCACAGCATGGCCACCTAGAGGTCCAAGCCACTATTCCTCTAGTCTGGGTATGGGAGATCACATTATCTCAACCCTTTAGTTCAGCTAAAGCAAACTTAGGACTTTTAAAAAGTCATTTTGCTAAAAAGGGGGAAAAGTGCACACATAGGGACACATGAATTTATAATGCCTGTTTCTTTTTTAAATGTTTTTTTAATAGTTGTAGATGGACAGCATGCCTTTATTTTTTATTTATTTTTTAATGTGGTGCTGAGGATCAAACCCAGTGCCTCACACATGCTAGGCAAGTGCTCTGCCACTGAGCTACAGCCCTAGCCCAATGCCTGTATTTCTTTTCCCAAGAGAACAAGGGGGCTAGTCCCAAATTAACTTGAGGTATAAGACTAGCATTTTTTTTTAATAGCTATGATATGCCAGGCAATAGCACAGGTGTTTCATATATGTTAGGTAATTTATTCCAATCTAAGCATCACAACAACTTTGTAAAGTAAATGTTATTTTCATTTTATAGGAGGTAAACTGAGGCCTGGAGAGGTTAGGTGAGTCGCTTAAGATCCCAAGGATGATCTGGGGTTCAGACTCATGTCTAATACTAACTTGTGGTAGTGTCACTGTATTGGGGCAGCCCATCATTTCACCTCAGTCCTTTCTCTGAAACTTGGGGAACAATGTGTTAAGGTACTATTCCTTTTTCAGGCCCTGTAGGGTTTCCCTGTGGCCAGTGCTCCTTCAACTCTATGAGGCCTCAGGGGCAATGGGCCTTGACTCATTCTAAGAAATTAACTTTTTTGGCTAAGTTTGTCCTTGACAAGTCAGACCCTAAGGATTTTGCCCTTTTTCTCTTGTGAGGGAATTTTTTGCTTTCCTATTCTGTGTTACCACCTACAAGGAATGATTTTCTGAGGCCGGAAAGTTGAGGGAATGACCTAGGCAGTCTAAAAATAGGGCAACTTGGGCCCCAGACAATGTTAAAGTCATAGACAAATTCAGCTGAGAGACTAAAGAACACTTTAAAAACCCTCAAGGTAGACTTGAATTCATAATTGTGGATTAAATCAATTAAAGTAAAATTCTGATTATGTGGAGATAAGTGTTCATACCATGACAGTTTCGAGATTAAAGTAGGTTACTTGCACTAAAAGATATTGGAAGCTACAGCCAATCCACACTCTTTACCTAATCTTAGAACAGGAACCCAGAGGTGGGATGACTTGGTAGAGTTTACACTGCTGACTGTGGGATTTTTCACCTATCAGTTCCTTATGCTTTGTCACTAAAGAGAAACGGGAGGGAACTTAAGATAGGCTCATTTAACAGCAGGGGCAAAGTTGCATCGAAAGAGGAAGTTAACAACTTCCTGGAACACCTGCCTTGTTTTAGTTAGTGCTTCTCTGGACCATCAGCCAGTGATGGTTAAAACCTACAGCTGTCACCCTGGTGCTCTTTACTACTTCTGTGCCCTCAGCCGTGCTGGATGCCTTGGTCTCTACTAGGAGACATATACACAGAAGGATGGGGCTGGTGACCATAGCTTCATTTTGGTGTTTGCTTAGAAAGAAGAACTTGAACCATAGCTCTCAAATTCTGATTCCCAGTTCCAGGTTGTAGTGTGAATTCTTTCTCCCATTCAGATCATCTGACCTGGTGACGAATGTAAGGTTGCTGCTGTTTCATGCCCCAGATCTTCCTACCTCACAGTCTTTGGCTCCCATAAGGCCCAGAAGAAGCAGCAAGGGAGACATATGACAGACTTAAAGATGCTTTTATTGGGAAGATGAGGGAGTAAACCAACTCCTGACAGGCCTAGTCATAAGTGAGCCAGACTTAGGAAAGAGGTACAATAAATAGGTAGTAATTGGGGATGATCCCAGCACAGCAAGAAAGGGTACCATTTGCCACAACATCTGGGCCTGTTAATCCTCTTTTCTGTTTGAGCTCTCCAGCTGTGTGGTTTGCTGCAAACTGAGGAGCTGGAAGAGGAATTCTCAGGGTTCTAAAATATCAAATACTCCATCTTGCATAGGAGAGACATCCTTGGTCTTGGAAGTGTTTGAGCTGGTGCCTAAGGACTCATCTGAGGGAAGAAAAGAATTCAGATGAGGCTCTGCCAGGTGAGAGAGCCCCAGAGGTCCTGCCACCAATAAGCTTGGAGCCTCCAGGTATGCCTGAATGCATGAAGCCACACCCTTGGAGGACTATCTCATGCTCAGTACCTTCCACGCTCAGTTCCACCCAGGGATGGGCCTGCTGGCTTGTCTCCCCAGCACTCAGACTCTCTTGTTGGGAGGACCAGGCCCTCTCAGCAGGAGCCAGGACCCCAGAGTGTCCTTACCCCCAGCATCCTTCTGACAGCCTCCAGCCGTGTCTGGACTCGTGAGGCCTCTTGTGGACACAGCATCTGTAGCTCCCCAGGTCTCATGTGAAGTAGCTGGTTCCCCATCAGGGACCCTAGGGTCTTCACCGTGCTGTGAACAAAAACAGGAGAAGCCACCAAGGGTCAGGTGGAAGGATGCTGGGCCTGAGTATTTGGGTAGAGAAGGGCTGTTTAGGATTGGAGGTTGGGGTTCCAGGATGATTTGTAGCATGGGGTATCTGAAAGTGCTGGTATAAGCCAATTGGTTTGGCACCAACTGATGTCAGAACACCCAGGTTTGAAGTATCTTGTAAGAAGGCATGGCTGAGCTGTCAGTTTTTTTTTTTTTTCCCCAAGTTCACTATCTTGATGCTTGCTGCCTTTACCATGGCAGGAGCACCCCACCTGACACCCTAACCTAGGTTTAGGCAAGTCCCCTTCCTCTGATCTCTTTCACTCAGCAGAACCTGTATCTGAGATGGAGTTGACAAGCACAGTGGAGGCCAGTTGCAAATTTGGGTCTCTGGGTTTCCATAGTCCTCATCGGAGCCCATTTTAAGGTCCCCTCTCCATGCCCCTCAGACTGGGCACTTACACAGTGGAAAAGTTTTCTGCCTGCAGCCAAGCCTTGACTTCCTCAGGCCTTGAACTGAGTCGAAGCATTGGAGCCTGGATTGGTGGGGCGGGGGGCGGGGGTGGAGGAATAAGGGGTCAGAGATCATCTCACAAACACACATACTTCCCAACCCTAGGTTTCTTCTCTGGGCTTCCATCAGATCACTTATAACAGCCTATGATTTTATGGTCTGGTAGGAACCCTGTTTTATTACTTGCTTTGACCCAATAACAAACTTAACATGCAGTAAGAACTGATTAAGTAAAACCAGAACTAATTCTTCTGCTTGTCACTGAATCCTCCCCACCCTGACCTCCAACTCAGGACTTAAGCCTTTTGGATAGCTTAGGCCAGGTAGTGTACCCGTGTGGGTGACTGGCCCTGGCTCCCAGGGCCTCCCATCTGCAGGGGCTCCAGGATGTTGCTGGGAATGTAGCCACTCTGTCCTGCCTCATTCTTCACCAGCCACCACCGCTTGCTGTGGTCCAGAACCTGCCAACAGTCACCATCTCAATCACCCAAACCTCTGTCCAGGCAGGAGGAAAACACACAAGGGTTTTATTTTCCCTCCCAGCCCTCTCCCACTTTCCTTCTCCATCTCCAGGCCCCCCACCCTGGCAGCTCCAAATCTAGACTGCCCAGTCCAGGCTACTGTAGCTCCCACCAACCACCACCTCCTTTTCTAGCGTCAAGCCCAGACCTTACCTCCAGCACCTCACCCTGAACCACAGTTAGTTCCTGCGGGTTCCTTGCTTCAAACTCATACAGAACTTGCATTTTCAGGACTGATTTGACAGGTCTAGGGCTGGAGGGTGGGATGCTGGTATCCCCAGGTTGAGGGCCATTGTTGTAGGTCTCCTCCTGAGCAAAGTGTGAGGTACTCCCTAACCTAGCACTTTTGCCAAAAGAAAGAGGGAGGATGGCTGGAGATGGGCCTCAGAAATTGAGCACCTATCCAACTACCAAGAACCCCAGGTATCTCCTGGCTACATCTTATGGTGACTTTTATGGTTCCATAGAGTTTAATAGGAGGTCTGTCTTAGGTGGGGCTTGGGGTAGAGGTTTCTGAGGACAAGAGAGGTCTGAAATATCATCGATCTCTAAAGACATTTACAGCAGTGGAATTTTCTACATCTGAGCTCTGCTGTGAGCACTTTATATCTGAGCTCTGGGAAACCAGAGATGTGTATGGATGGTATCATGAAAAGAAGGGATTGGAACCTAAGAAGGTCAAAAGCTGCTTTTGCATCCAAACTAGGGGAGGATGTGTTTGTGTTATGTCCTTGTTGACTAAGAAGAGAGCTCAGAGGGTCTTTGAGATATAGAGATCCAGAGATCAAAAGGCTTAGTTCCTTCATTCCCTCCCCACCCAATTCAGTCCCTAATAGCCTTGAGCCATACCGGAGGGCAATAGAGTCCTGATATCCTAAGGGTGCCTGTAAGGAACAAAACAGAAAGTGAGTAAGAGCAGGAGGCAACCACCATGGTGATAGGGAGTGGCTGTCAGACACCCCCAACCCTTACTCCCACAGCTTTCTCCCATCCTCTTCCTGGCCATCCTCACAGTGATGGACCAGGTCCTCACATAAACCCATACATGGCCTAGTGGTCACGTGACCATGGGGATGGTAGAAACTAACCAGAGCCCAGGGCTTTGGATAGGACTCTGTCTCAGCATTTCTTACCAAGGAGGAGCGCTCTGGAGGTTGCCAGCCATCATAAAATGTAGGTTGGTAGTGTGGAGGCTCTTTGCCTGTCCAGTCAGCCCTGGGGGGAGAACAAATCAGAGTCCTTGTCCACTCTGTGCAAGGCTGTGGGATGTAGAGAGGGAGGAGATGACAAGGCCTAACCTCAGGATCTTAATGGGGGCATAGTCCATTGTGCACAGATGAAAGGCCTCAGAACACCCACAGAGGAGCAAATGGTTAAGGATGAGCAAACCTCACAGCGCAGGATCTGTGGAGCAGCCCTACCACCACCCACGAAGTGCAGATGTATCACTCCCCTGGGGAAACAGTAGCTTTGCTGGGGCGTTTGAATTAAAGTGGTAGAAATCAGAGTGTAGGTCCTAAAGGCCTCCTTATGGTTTCCTGCTGTTTTTCTAACCTGTTTTCAGTGTCCCCATAGTAGGTCTCTCTAGCTAAATAGTGTGTGGAACTCTAATTTTGAGACCATCATGGCAGGGCTGTTCTAGCTGACACCAGGATGGGGCAGTTTCTTGCCTCTTAACCTCCCTCTCGCCCACCACACAGGGCCCATCTGTGTGCCATCTGTGGCTTCCAGGCTTTTTGTGCATGGACAACCACTACCTGGCTGCAGGGGAAATGCCCTCGACTCTTAGGGAAGTTATTCTCCCTGCCTCCTCCAGGTAAATATTTCCCCTGAACTTGGTGTACCTGTGGATTAGTGCTCCTTTCACGCTCTACTGCACATGCTCTTTACATGTCTGTGTTGTTTTGTTTTTTTTTACTATATTGAACTCTTTGGGAGCTGTCGTCCCAGGACTGTGGCTGGTGTATAAGCTGCAGCTAAGAAATGTTTATTCAGTGGACCACAGAGACTGTTCCCTTTTCTGATCTTCTTCATTGGTCCTTTCTTCTTGGCCTTAGAAAGATGCTCAGGTCTTCCCTTGACCCACTTACAACTCCTTGTAAGCTGTGGACCTATAACCCTCTCCTTGCAAATTTCCTGAGAATGTACCTAAATACCCTACCTACACGTTCTCACCTCGGTCCTGTCATTACTCCAGCATCAGATTTTCTCTGTCATTACTTTATTGGAACCAGACTATTTAAAATCCTGATAATCTCCTGGCTGACAAATCAATGGCCTCAGATGTTCTCCATCCTTCTGGATTACCACAGCATTCAATGACCCATAGCTTTGGGTCATTTTGTCTAAAATCAAGTCATTGAAATATAAGTTGTCAGAAATTCAACTCTATTTAGAGTTTTTACATCCCTATAATTATTCTATTTTCTGTGTTTCTGTTGCAATGATTAATTTCTGGTTATTTTAGGAAATTAGAAAACATCTAGGGGAATAACTGACTTGATATATTATTTAACAAGTGTATTTCAGTTTATGAACACTGGAGTTATTTTGCATCTTTAAGGGTACTTTTTAAAAAAAATCACATCCAGTCCAGCATGGTGGTGTACACCTGTAATCCCACCAATTTGGGAGGCTGAGGCAAGAGGATTGCAAGTTTGAGTCCAGCCTCAGCAACTTAGTAAGATCCTGTCTCTAAATAAAAAATAGTAAATAGGGCTGGGGATGTAGCTTTGCATTAAAGCTCCTGAGTCCAATCCCCAGTACCCCCTAAAAAAAGAAAAATCTGCTGATCCATTTTTCTAGGGTCTCAAATTCTTCTTTTTTAAGGATTGTATTTTATTTATTTTTTAAAATATCTTTATATTTATTTTCATTTATTTATTTATTTTTATGTGGTGCTGAGAATCAAACCCAGGGCCTCGTGTGTGAGGGGCAAGTGCTCTACTACTGAGCTACAACCCCAGCCCTCAAATTCTTGAAATAAACCTGGGCTTTGAAACACAAAATTATATATTTAACATGGTTGCTCAATGTTAAAGTGGCTGAATAAAATTACTTGAGGTCCATTGCAGAACCTCTCTTTCCTCCTTGTTGGTGCTAGATGCCAGGGCTCTCTCCCCAGACAATGTGAGCCCAGCATAGCCATGGGAACCAGCAGACTCTGAGACTAGCTCATATAATATTCTGGACAAATGAATATTGTTATGGGAATCCAAGTATCTGTTGACAAATGAATGAATAAAAAAATGTGGCATGTTCACGCAAGGGAATATTATTCAGCCACTGAAAATAAGGAAATTCTGACCCATGCTATAATGTGGATGAACCTTGAGGACATGCTAAGTGAAATGAGCCAGTCATAAAAGAATAAAGAATGTGTTCCACTTACATGAGATACTCATAGTAGGAAAATGTAGAGAGAGAATAAAATAGAGGTGCTAGAGGCTGGGGAGGTGGGGGAATACAGAATTATTGTTTTGTGGGTATAGACTTTTTGTTTAAGATGATGAAAAAGTTTTAGGAATAGATAGTGTTGCCTGTGCAACATTATTAATGTGCTTAATGCCACTGAATTATGCACTTAGAGCAGTTACAATAGTAAATTTTGTTATGTGTATTCTACCACAGTCAAAAACATGCATTGCATTAATTGATTCATGTCTTTAACAAACTAGATGAAAACTCCTTTGAATGGGGCTGAATTAAAAATTCTGTCTTTAGGCAAAAGGCGTGCTAGGAAAACTGGCTTATTTCCCCATTGACTTCTCTGTCTTTCTGATCCCCTCTTCTCTCTTGGTTTTTATTTTCTCTGTCCTTGTGGTTCTTTTAACTCCCTGGGATTTCTTTTTCCTTTTGCAACCTGCATGTAAGTTTCCCACTGTCCTGCCATCTTCCCTTGTGGAAGAGAAAGTACTGTGCTTATTAAAGTGAGTTCTGGGGCTCCCACGGGCATGCTCGCCTTTCCCCGAGGCCCCCCTTGTCAGGTTTTACCACAGCCAGGCCAGACACCTCACCTGGGGCGGCTGCCCTGCCTCTGTGGACTGTTCCCCTGACACCTCAGCTCAGCCAGGGGAGCCAGTTTCCTCCCCCACCCCCCAAGGCTCTCTTCAGTTTGTCCTCCTGCCAAATGCTCATGTCAGCTTTGGGATCTTGTGGCATCTCTTTCTCTCCTAACTGGGGCCCTGCCAAATGGTTGCCAAGTCTTACTGATGTTACATTTGTAGCATCACTTATGACAGTAATTCTGAAATTCTGGGCTGGATTAAGATAAAGTTTTCGCTTTGGCCTTGACAAAAATGAGGTTGGCTCCCTAAAAAACAAATGCCAAATGTCTTCTTTGATATAAGGAGAGTAACTAAGAACAGAGTAGGGTCGAAGAGCATGAGAAGAAGATTAACATTATACAGGGATGAGAGGTGGGAGGGAAAGGGAGAGAGAAGGGAAATTGCATGGAAATGGAAGGAGACCCTCAGGGTTATACAAAATTACATACAAGAGGAAGTGAGGGGAAAGGGAAAAATAATACAAGGGGGAGAAATGAATTACAGTAGAGGGGGTAGAGAGAGAAGAGGGGAGGGGAGGGGAGGGGGGGGGGATAGTAGAGGATAGGAAAGGCAGCAGAATACAACAGACACTAGTATGGCAATATGTAAATCAGTGGATGTGTAACTGATGTGACTCTGCAATCTGTATACGGGGTAAAAATGGGAGTTCATAACCCACTTGAATCAAAGTGTGAAATATGATATGTCAAGAACTATGTAATGTTTTGAACAACCAACAATAAAAATAATAAATAAATAATTAATTAATTAAAAAAAAATGAGGTTGGCATCTTTCCTTTTGGGGAAGAATTGTTGTTTTCTGAGACAATGCTTTTCCTTTCATAGTGAGTAAAGGTGATAATATATATATTTTAATTGGTCATACTTACCTTAATAAAGAGTTGGGAACTTCATGTAGAGTCCCCAAATTGTTTTGAAATATTTCTGGTTTGTGTCAACACAGTGCCTGGCTACCTCTCGGGTCCTTCCCCAACACCCCTCAGCCCCAGTTCAGTTCAGATCTTGTCTTCACTCACCGGCTGGTGGTCCAGGCCACACCCAACCCCTTCCAGAGGTTACTTTCAGATGGGCTCAGACAGGACTGCAGCAGGTCAACGGCTTTGGGGGTGAGGAGGGGTGAGACCACTTGAGATGGTAGGTCAGCATCAGGGCACTGGGCCAGGATCTGGGGGAGTGATGGAAAGTGTCAGGAAGCCTAGGACAGAAAGGCCCAGATTCTCCAGCCCTGCTCAGCTGCCCATCTCCTGCAGAACCCTAGGGACCTTGTGTCTGACCCCTGCTCATAGAGTCTTCTGGGGGTGTTGGTCCCACGAGGGATGTGGTCTTGGGGTTAAGGAGGTGGGTGTGCTGGGCAGAGCAAAGGGAATCCCCATGGCCTCCCTCTACCCTCTCTCAGCCTCCTTTCCTCCCTCTGCTCCTGCTTGGCTTCAGCCTGTCCCTCTTCCACCCTGTCCTCCCACTACTCACAGAGTCCAGAGTTTTGAAGAGGATGTGCACAAACTCAGGGGCACTCGTCTCCTCCAGCCTGAGGGCCAGATTTCCCTGGGGACACAGGGCAATGTCTGTCACCACATTTCATCCTGCAATATCTTCCGTTCCCCATAATTGTTTATGCCTCAGCTAAGAGCCTGGGACTCTCCAAAAGCCCCAAGAAGGGGAGCAACTGAAGAAGGGAAAAACTTAGACTGTCCAGAGACCAGTGACTGTAGGGTTGTTGGGGGAGGAAGGCTGGGGAAGTGGTGGGGAGCCACAGACCAGGAGGTTGAAGCTGTACTTGATCTTCTGGAAGCAGTCAATGTAGTGTGCCCGGGTTATTCCTGTGGGAGCAGGGACAAAGGCAGCATTCACAGATCATCTCAGGACAACTCCACTCCTCTCCCCTGGCCCTCAGCACTCACCCTCATTCTCCTTGTTCTTTTTTTTCCTAAGTCTCCTCTTCTTCTTAAGGCTGGTCTTTGCCTGAACCTCCTTCAGTTTTCCCATGAACAGCTCAATGTCCCCTAGGACATGGTTCAGCACCTCCTGGGTCCCAAACAATCCATGATCGTGAGTGGGCAGTTAGGACTGTCCTGCCCTGACCACCCTGGGGCCCTGGGCTCCTGGGTGAGGGGGAGAATAGGTATACTCTCTTCCCCTGGGCCCGGGAAGCCTCAGCAAGCCCAAGACCATCCTTAATTACCTCATCTCTCTGTAGATCCTCTGGGGATGGAGACCGTCTTGGAGGAGGCCGAGCGAAGGCGCTTGGTTCTCTGGCACTGGGGTGGCGTGACAGGGTCCTTGGGGATGGTGGGATGCCTGCGATGTAATGGGACTATGGGCCTAGAACTCCTTTGACATTCTCTTCCACCTGCCCCTGTCCGCAAAACTTACTGTGCTCTGGGGTCATCTGGTAGGGCTGCTCTGGAAGGGGCCCCCGCTCCAGAGAGGGTGCCTGCTCCAAAGGAAGTGACCTTTCCAGAGATGGTCCCCTCCATCTGTTCTGGCCTGAGTGAAGGCCTCCAAATTGAGGTCTACTGAAGACATGGTGAAGGGCACTTCTTTGACAAGGTTCTCGGGACAGAAGCCTTGCCCACACTTCTGCTGGCTATGCAGAGACTGCTTACCTTTGCTCAAGCTCCTCCTCCAGGGCCTTCTGCAGGCTGGTCCTCAGCCGTTCTGCCTGGAGGAAGCAACAGTCAGGCAAGATGTGTGTGTGTGTGTACGCACGCACGCACGTGGTGGGGTGGGGATGCACGCATGCACCTGCACAACCTGCACACACAATGGTTATGGTTTTTGAACCTCACCCCTGGCCACTCACCCCTACTTCATGGCACTGGAAGAGCAGAGTGCTAGTGCTTGGCAAGCCAGACTCCTGCACAGTGATGGACAAGATGGAGTTGTAGGAGCAGGTGTTCAGTGCCACATCCATGGCCTTGATGTTGTCTAGGCGGTAAGAGTCCAGCTCCTCCTGGGCCAGGTGAAGAAGTCAACTGTGAGGCCTAAGAACTAAGTTTGGCTCCTAGAAACTCCTGATAGGCTTGCCCCTGCCCTCTGGTGGCCTGGATCTGGGGAGTCATCTGTTCTGACTTGTGCCTCTATCCCCAACCCTCATCTCCTATCTCTTCGTAGGCCTGGGTGTCTGCTGAGTATGGGAGGTAGCTGCTGTTGGAGGCACCTGGCACTTGCTCTTCCACAGCATGGGCTAGACAGTGGGAGGGCTGACCTTGGTCTCGATGTCCAGCAGCTGGAGCCAGCCATCTCTGACCTGCAGGATCAGGTCTTGGCTCCACACTCGGCCCTGTGTGTCCATGTCCTGCAGCTTCTGCAGTGCATCCTTGGGTTCCCGGACTTTAGGTGTCCCCAGCTTACATGTCATCAGATGCTATAAAGGGAGAGGAAAGGGGCCAAACCAGGAAAAGTTTTGAAGGAGGTGGTGGTGGGAGAGGAAGGCAGCAGAGGGGGAAGGGCAGATCCCAATAGCACCCTCTGGGGACAATTTAAACTGTGTAGAAGCAGTAGGGCTAGGAATGGGCCTCCAGGTCTGCGGTTAAAGGGCTTCATGAGGGATTTTAAGACTCCAAAGGAATGACAATTGTGGGGCGGATGTGTCCTGCTGGATGTGAGCTCCAAACACCCAGCATATACTGTCTGAACTTCTGAGTGGGCTAGAGGACCCCTGGGCTCTGTTCTTGGCTTCCTTTGCTGCATTTGGGATGCCACCCCTCCAGCCTGGTCTTCTCACTGATCCAGGGTTGCTGTTGCTGTGCCTTCGCTCATACTGTTCCTCATACCCAGATGCCTTTCTACCCTCTGCCAATCTAGCACCTCGTCTCTCAGGAAGAGGGTCAAGCCCACCTTTCCTGATTCTTATCCAAAGAGATCCATAGTGATCTTAGTCTCCACAAAAGTCCTTACCTGCTGCTAGCCTGAAGATTGGTGGGTCTTTGCCCTTGTCTACTTCCTCCAGGAGAACTGCCCACACCCCCCACTCCTCACCCTGCTTCTCCCAGCTGCATGTTGCCTTTCCCAGTCTTCTCCCCTACCTGGTGTCTGTCCTTCCCCTTGACCCTCCCTCTCTACCCTGGCAGCTCCCCATCCCTTCCTGGGTCCAGCTCCTCTCTCTGTTCACCCTGCCAGCAGCTCAGGCAGCAGAGGGGAAAGGGCAGATCCCAGTAGCACCCTCTAGGGACAATGTGAACCGTTTAGAAGCAGTACGGCTGGGGATGGGCCTGGTGTCCCTGTCATCCTGAATATGTCTCCTGCTCTTAATTCCTATGAAGCCAGTTCCMAGCCCCACCCCATAAAGAAGATGAATACTCCTGCCTCTCCCCGGCTAATGGGGCAGCCCTTTCTGCCTTGATGTTGTCTATCCCTCACCCCAGTGTGGCTCCCTGTTATCTGCATTAGATCCCTAACACATGAGACTGCTGGGGTGGGGGTGGTTTCTCCCTCACCGCTATGTCCCCCACCATGTCCTCAGCAGTGCCTGCTGGTCTGGCGACACCCTTGTAGCCTGCACTTTGCTTTCACTGTGGTGCCGACATCCCTTCCTGTAATTAGATCTTTAAGTAGCAGTTACCCTCCTGGGGGGTGTGCGTGGCAGAGACACCATTCCAGCAGATCAGTGGAGGGGGGTCACCTCACTCCCCAGGAACTCAGACTCAGCTACTCCCCTCTTAGTGGCTCCTCAAATCCGAGAGGGCTGTAGACCTCATACTTTCCCTCCTTCAATAATGCCCATTCTGAGCAAAGAGCAACTCCCTGGCATTGGGTGTGGTTGGGGGTGCATCTGGAACAAATGGGGTTGGGCAGGGGAGGTTCTCAGTGCCTCTAGGCCAATCCCTTTTCTACTTCTTACTGTCTGGGGATCAGACCTCTATCTGGGCCTGCTCTGCCCACCTCCATTCCCCCTCCTCCCCAGAACTTAGCAGATGCTTCATTAGGCTGCAGGCTGGTTGGATCCAAGTCACAGGATTAGGCCAAATCAGGCTGTTAGCTTCCACAGCAGGAACATTTGAGGCATCTCTATTTTGGCAGGGCATTGGACACACAGAGACACTTGGCTTCAGTTGGAAACCACCTGGGGCTCTGGCAGTACTCACCTCCACCCTGTGCTGCAGGAGGGTGAGCTCTGAGGCCAGGCTCTGGGAATACTCTTTCCGGTGCACTGCAGAGTAAAAAGTCAGGGACAGGAGGTGGCAGGAGAGTGAGATGAGGCTTAGGCAATTGCAGGGTGTGAGAAGGGAAAGGTCAGAGGATAGGGGCTTCAGCAGGGCAGAGGGTTCAGAGAGAGCTTACAGTAAATGGCTTTGCTACTGGGCCGGGACATGGTGACGCTGCTGAGGCCAGCTACCTAGAACCCCAAGTGAAACAGAGACAGCCATGAGAGCTGGCAAGAGGAGTACCAGGCCCAGTGGGGACAGAGGGCTGCTACTGTCAGGGAGCAGACCAAAGCCCTGGCTCCAGGGATCTTTCCAGAGCCATCTGCAGTCAGTGTCCTCCCTTAAAGAGCCCTCCATCTTGGTTGGCCCTGAAGGGCCAGACTAGGAAAGGGAGAGCCTAGGTCAGGCTCCAGGCTCCCACTATTTGGATCTGGGACCAGATTCTAGACTGGGCCTGGATGTGAAAGATGCCAGATAAGTAAGCTGCACCCATTTCTGTAGGGAGGGCAGAGGGCTCAGCAGCCTTCCCTGCCAGACCAAATCTTCTCGTCCAGTCCTGTTTCAATTCTGCAGACCAGGAGGAAGCTGACATTACCCCATGAGCTGGAGACCCTCTCAACAGGAGTGTATGCACCTGTGTGGGTGCGCACCTACATGTACCTGTCTACCATGGTGTAGGACTTATCAATGATCTGCACTTCCCTGATCATCTAACCAATACTCCTGTCTTTTTGACCCCCTGTATTCCATACCCTCTCCTAGAGCCCTTCTCCACCTCAACTATTTAAATCCAGCGCATGGATCACCTCCCTGGCGAATTTCTCCTTGACTACCACCCTTTCCAGATTGCCCCTGAATACCATGTTGAGCTTTGTACATTCTTCTGTGACAACAGTGGCAGTAGTAGTTAGTACCATGAGACTGCTGCCAAGCCCCTCATGAACATTCAGTCTTCACCACCATCTGCTCATGCTGACTTGGTGCCAACTGCTGCTCACTGGTCTATGGGCTTTATCCTCCATATCTCATTTAATCCTCAGAACAACCTTACTAGGTGGGTTTTGTTTTTATCCCCATTTAGTGGATGAGGATTCTGACACTGAGGCCTGAGGTTACAGTGATTATTTAACAGAGATTCTATGTTTTAGTTGTTTATGTGTCCCTATTACTGGGTGGTGAGCTGGCCCAGAGGGGGTCTAGAACATCAATCCATTGAAACAAAACCAAATGAAATGTGGTGTGTGAATGTGCAGGGTGGGGTGGGGGCTAGTCATGAGTGGGTCAAGAGTGGGTGTCATCTGAATGAGGTGTGTATGCATCATGCATAGATGTTGGTTTTGTGGGTCTCCACATCTGCGTGGTATGCCTGGAATACCCTGGGCAAAGTATAAGAGAGCACCCACACCCATTTATTACGACTGTTATGAAAATAACAGAGGCTCCGATAAGATGAATCAATGATGGGAAAATGAATCGTCATTGAGTAATTATGAAACTGCAGGAGGCGGCTAGGTCTCTGTTCCCTTGTTGGGGAGGACCCCTTTTCCTCTGCAAAGAAGGGGTGCTGGAAATAAATCTTCTTCCCCTCCTCCTGCCTCTCTCAGGCTGTGACACACTTCCTGTTTCTAGACCAGAAGAGAAATGAGTGCTTCCCTACTCAGCCCCTCTCTACTCCCCCACACCAGGATGGTCCCTGTGGGTCCCTAAGGGTCCCTGTGGGTGGGTGGAGGTAGGGAAACAGCTGCTCTGAAGATCCCAACCCCAGGAGGAGAGGCTGGCTTTGGCCTGCCTGGCCCCTTGTGGTGTGGGAAGCTGGGCAGTGTTGTTCTGCCATTTCTTCCCCAAATGTAGGGGCTTGGAGCAGGGAAGGGGTATCTCTATCACAGACAATGGGGGAAGCCTGCAGAGGGACTTTTGGAGCCCCTTGCTCTGCTTCTTAGCCTGCTAGTCAGCAGCTAAGTCCTACCCTCCCTGGGCCTGAACCTCCTGCCTGCATCTCCAGATAGGCTGGAGAGAAGCTCTGGCCTGGAAAAGCTCCTGTCCTGAGTTTTCCCCACCTGTCCTGCCCTGCCTGGGGCTGCGCCAGGCCCTGATAGTCCCTGGGGGATAGGCCCTTACCTGGGTGCCAATGCCTCTGGTGACTGATGGCCCAAGGGTCTGGCTTTTGAGCAGTTGATCTGGTGCCCAGCAGTTGGTCCTCTGCTAGCTGCCTCAAGCAGCACCCTGCTGGTGAGCAGGTGGCCCCCGGGTGAGCGGTAAGTCCCGTGGTGTTGAGTCTATGGAGGCAGCCACACCTGTGCTCTTTGGACTCTGGTAGGTGGGGAAACCTCTCAGGCCACCGCCCACCCAGCACTGAATAGGACGCACACCTGTGCCGGCAGGTGCCTTGAGCCTGGCCAGAGACCTCTGCTTCCTAGCTTCCTCCTTACTGTCCTCTGGCCTTAGGTGTAACCCCTTTGTCCCTCTGCCTTTTGAGTATCTTGTCTGGGGCCCAGGTCAGCATCAGGCACCTGGGCCAGGAGCAGAAGGAAAGAGCATTTTGGCCTGCAGAGTGTTCTATGATCAGGGGACAGGCCACCTGGAAGTGGGCCCCAGGCATGTGGGGAGATGTGGACTGGTGAGTGTGCTGTGTCTGCACATGTGCTCCATCCATGGGCATGTGACCATGTATGGCCAGGTAGTGCCTGTGGACAAGACATGGACCTGTCAAAGAAGATAGGGACAGAGGCACTAGAACACTGTGGACTTTAATGGAGGGCTGAAATTACTGTGCAGCAGGGCTCACCTTGTTCCTCCTTCCTTTGGTCAGTCCACCCAGCAGGGAGCCCTCCCACTCCCACATTCTTGTTCTTGTTCTTCTCTTTCCTTTTCTTTTCCATCCTACCTCATGTCCCCAGACCTGGGGCAGATCTCTGGTTGGCTTTAGCAAAGACAGAAAACTGAGGTATACCCCCTGTCACTACTCAAGGACTTACCCAGTCCCTGGATGTTGTTGTATTTAAAAATCTCCTTTGGCACCCAGGGCAGATGAGGATCCCCATCTTCTGGGGACTCACAGCCCAGTGAGGGAGGCTTGGCATAAACAAAAACCAAAAGAGAAGCAGGAGGGTAAGAGAGGGGAGGGGAAATGCCAGGTAGGAACTGATTTTCCTGGGACAGAGGCTTAAGGCCCTGCAGGTGTTGAATCTGTGGGACAGAGTCCTGTGGCCTCCAACTGCAACCTGCATCCTGTCCTTGGCTTCCCTGGGATCAGCCCAGGAGATCCTGGCCTGCGCTGCCACCCTTACCCTGGCAAATAGTACCTTGGATGGCCTGGAGTCCGGGGACTGGATCCCAGTGAGAGGCCTCCCCTACCTGAACTGGTGAGGGTCACTGGGAGGGTCCTGGGGCCTGGGGTCAGGTGCCTGTTGGGCCAGCACCTCTTCATGGCTGCATGGGAACCAGCCCTCCTGACCTCCTTGGCTGACTTATTCCCTGGGTTTTAGCCTCTGGGACCTCCTTCAGCCTCGTTCAGGACAGGGTCATCTGTGCCTTTTTGCTTGCTCCAGTCCTAGCCCCAGTTCCATCAAGGTCACATTCCACTGTTAGCCCCGAGTTGGGTGCCCAGTCAAGACCTCATTCCTAACCAGCTCAGACCAGGTCCCATCCTCTTGCAGGACTCTCCCATGTCAGTGTGAACACAGCAGGGACTCTTGTGGGGGACATGGGGACAGGCTGAGATGGGACTTAATCTGTTGCGGAGTTCCACATGACATCTTTGAGCAGAGTGCTCTTGAGGGGTGCTCTGGGAGCCTGCAGGTTTCCTCAGTGAGGAACCCTTTGTGGCTAGTGTGGAGGCTGGGACTGGGGCTTCTTTGGGGACAGGTATTGTGAACCTTTGCTAGACTTCCTAACACATTCTTCCTAACACATCTTTTCCCGGGGAAAGATGTGTTAGGAAGAATGGAGAGGTCAGGCCACCCACCTGGGCCCAAAGACAGCCCCAGGTGCCCACGCATTCTGGGCTGAGGCAGAATTTGGGACCCTGGTGGGAGAGAAAGAAGTCGGACCTGGGAGCATCTTCCGGAAGCTATGAGGCTACAGTGGGGGGAACCTGTTCATTCTTTTGCTGGGGCTATTGGGAAAGCCATCCCTGACCAGGGCACAGAGGCAAGCTGCTGCTCTGAGTGTGACAGAGGAGTCAAGGAGAGAGAGATAAGGTCCCTCCCTTTGGGGCTTACATTCCAGAGGCAAAAGAAACAAACACATATAAAGATAATCAGGGTCCTGTAAGGGATAGGAAGGAAATAAAGAAGGGGATGTGGATGAGAGCATGGGCGTGGGAGGTGGCTTTGATGTAAGGAGTCGGAGGAGATCCTCTGAGGAGGGAGCCTGGAGCTGGGTCAGAGGGCAGGGAAGGAGCCAGGCAAGGAGAGCAGCCAGACAAAGGCCCCCCCAGCGGAGGAGGCCAGGGTGGCTGGGGTGGGGTGAGCGGGGGAGGGGCCTGAGTGGTGGGCAGCGGCCAGAGCACACCGAGCCCTGCAGGCCAGGAGCCCAGCTTGCATTCTAGAGCAGTCAGAGGACACAGAGGTCTCAGGTGACGGAGCGTGGGGGCTGATCTGTTTTAGAGGGTCTCTCAGGCCTTGTGGGGGTCGATGCATTATAGTGGGGTTGGGGGCGGACAGAGCAACCTAAGGAGCAGCTGCTGTGGCAGTCCCAAAAGACACCCTCCTAGGCAGCAGGAGGGCAGCAAGGATGGAGACAGGCTGCCTGTAGGAAGGACAAATGTGCCATGGGTAGACGGCTGGAGGCTGGTGAGGGGGAGAGAGACTGATAGGTAAGAGGAGGGCAGAGGCAGCGAGCTCCCAGGAGAATGTGGAGGGGACAGTGTTTCAAGAGGACACCTGGAACAGAGCTACCAAGAGGGCAGAACCTGTATATTTATCCATGTGGCAGTCATGGGTGGTCCAGAGAGAGTCCCCTGGGGGTATAGTAGGGGCTAGAGCGAGGAGGGGACTGCAGGGTGGAGTGTGAGGAGGTGGGGACGGTGAGACGATGAAGGAACCCACTGTAGAGGCAAGAGGCTTGGCTAGTATGGGTGCTGTGGACGCTTGTTCCCGTGTGCCTAGGGTGGGAGACATTTTGCCAGTGGAGAGGTCAATGAGAGCAGGTCTGGAGGAGTGATGGG